CCTGGTGTGCGCCCTGGGCTTGGCCGTGGGCATCGTGGGCATCGTGGTGGGCACCGTCCTCATCATCAGGGCCATGAAGATGAGCAGCGCCCGCAGCCAGCGGGACCCCCTCTGAGGGGTCCCTGACCTGACAGACCCCCGACAGACTCCCCCTCATCCTCCAGCCCCCCTCACCCTCCTCATCACCTGCCTGCGTTTCATCCCCATGGGGGGGTGGTCTCCAGGTCTCCCAGTGCCTGGAGCAATCGCTGCACTGGTCCCAGTAGCCCGCACAGTTGGGGCAGGCCCCCCCCCTACGCCCGTCCTGGGTGTGGGGCCTCCCCTGATGACCCCTAAAAGGCTGGGAGGTGGGTCCTTCCCCACAGCACACCCGCCCCTCACCCCATTGTACCCCCTCTGCTCTGCTCCTTGGTCACCACAATAAAGTGGGTTGGGGTTGATCCTGCCACGTGTTCCTCACTCTGAGTCTGTTCTCCAGGCGTTGGAGGGTTTCTGAAGGGGCAGAGGTTGAAGATGTAGTCTCCAGAGAAGACATGGATGTGGTCTGAGTGCTGGAGGTGAGTGCAGTGGCGGTTTCAGCAGGTGTGCTGAAAGTTTCTGATCTGCTGGAGGTGGAGAGGACTGTAGAAGTGGAGAGAGGAGTAGTCGTTGGTTCTGCAGAGGCAGGAGGTGAAGAGGTGCTCTCAGGAGAAGTGATGGTTGTGGCCTCAGTGCTGGAGGTGAGTGCGGTGGTGGTTTCAGCTGCTGTGCTGGAGGTCTCTGCGCTGGTTGAGGTGGGAACCAGTGTGGAGGTGGTGAGAGGAGTAGGGGGCTTCACCCTCTTGGTGATCTGTGGGGTGGTGGGTTGTGGGGCAGGGTGCCAGGGGTCCAGCTGTGGGGCAGAGGGAAGGGGGAGGGTGACCTCTCAGCTCTTGGGTTCTCCCAGAGGGTGTAGGTGGGATCTGGGGACTTGGGAAGGACAGAACTGGGGGGGGGAGGTGATTGTAGATTCTGGGGGGGATCAAAGAGGCCATTGGCAGGTCCAACACCTGGATGTTCAACACTGGGTGGGAAGGGACTGTTATGTGTAAAGTTTGTTCACCTAGCCGTTGTATTGTGTACTGTGTATCTAGCTAGACATGAGCCTTTGTGCTGGGCAACTAGAACAATACGTGTTAAGTTGATAACACATTCCAGGAGACCGAAGTTGTTTATTCAA